TAAGTTATCTCCAGAACTGATTCCCTCCGAAATTGCATTCCGTTGTTCTGCGGATAACAATCGCATTCAATACACTATTGGGTATTGTATTGTAAATAACTATAAATTCAATGATGAGCTCTCCTATAGTGAGCTCTGCCTTGCGATCAAATGAATCGACAATAATGTGAAACACTTGAGAAGAAACACTCGGATTCTGTGATTCAAAAGTTTTTCATTTCTATTGATTTTATGAATAGTTATATCAATAATAGCACTAATAATAGTACCCGATAAATGGTTACATAATATGTGCCGAAAGTACTTATTTTCTAGAGAAGTGTCCCTTTTTTATGAAAATTTCTTTCAGTTTAAGTCATTATCAATGATTTACAATATACTGTATTCATTAATGTATGTCAAAATGCCAATGCAAATTTAAATCACAGTCAATTCACTATTTACAACTGTACTGGCACATTATGAGATAAGATTTATAAACTTATCATATACAGTATTTTCATTAGTGCATAATAACTTATTATATTAGGTTACTATATAAAAACTTTCCATTTCTTATTTTACTTTTACCAAGCTTATAAAAAATATAAATTTAATTTGAACTTCATTAAATTTATTAATATTTTAAACGATATATTTAATTCATTAAACAACATTTATTTAAATGTATACTATAAAATCTAAATCATTTAGACTAAACACATTTAAAGAATTTTTAAAAACCCTATTCTATAGTTAAAGTTTTTTTTAAATATTTGTCATCAAAAATTATTTTAATTCAGTAAATTGTACAATAACCGGTACAATAAAATATAGCCAGATAGCTATAAACTTCCCAGCTAATTTGTATCATTATCCATTAAAGATAACGGAAATGGAAACAAAACCTGTGCTCAAAACAACTTGACTTAACACCGATTCCATGATTAAAATATTCAGCAAATAATATTATTATTTTAAAACAAATAATTTTGTTATTTATAAATTGTTAAAATGTTATAATGTTATGTATAAATTGTTATATATCAAACGTCTCCGAAGTGTCTTTTTATCAAAAATTTCTTTCATTTCAAGCCAATATGACTGAATGTCAGACAAATTTTCAATGATTTATATTAATAAATGTCACATTGATTTGTGTTTAAAGTCGACAGATTAGAGTTGCCATCATTTCATTATTTTCATCTATTTTCGTCATAATTATGTGAATCACATAATGCGATAATAGTAATAAACTTATCATGCAGTTTCATTAACAGAAATAGTAAATTACATTTTAATAGCTACCCGTTTCTTATTTCATTTTTACTTAACTTTATAATAAATAAAACTTTTAATTTAAACTTTATTAAATTAATTTATATTACAATCCATTAATTTCATTCATTAATAAACATATATCTATATGTTTATTAAGGTTTGTACAAGTAAATTCTATGATTCTATAACTATAACTAACTATAACTAATAAATACACTAATATAAAAATCTCTATTAGTATGACTAAACTATTGAATTTACGGAATATTTAAAAATAATGTATATTTTGTGATTCAAGTTTTCCTAATATTTATCATAAAAAATTATTCAAATTCAGTAAATTATATTACAATAAAATAAACAATGCTAGATATAAACTTCCCAGTTAATTATGTAGCAATATCTACACCAAAATCATCTCGAACAAACAGTCAGGAATAAGTCTATGCAGTCAGATCATTGGGGATTTCCCGGACAAATAGACCATGCTCATCACATTTTTACTTTTTTATCTTATCTAAAATTACATCAAATGTCCACTCTCAGATATATTATTCCTTAAATTAAAAAAATTAATGCGAGCTATGTTAATAAATTGTAAGTAATGACCATGTTAAAATAATCGGTAGATTCTACCAATAATACTGACATCTGTTATATGTTTTCTAAGTTTGTACACAAAATAGAGTTTACTTTTATTTAACATTTACTATATTTCATTAAATTGTCATTTAATTTGGTTTAATTATAATAACATTTTATTAAATTGTGATACAATTAACTCAACAAATCCTAAGTGAGTAGACATTTGTAGATAAATATCAAGATAATAATATCACATATGAATAACCTTTATATGAGAGCTTATTATCGACACATGTAATGTTATAAAACGTAAGAATATTCTGTATATAAATGCTTAAGAATTGGTGTTATATTTGTCACATTTAGCCACAAATGAGCGCAAATGCCAAACAATTGTTTTACTTCTGTTTTGGATCTAATCTGTGGTCAAAGCGAATGCATATCAACGTCAAGAGTGCCGTCAAGTATGGCAACGGATTGCTAAAGGA